AGTACACAGGTCTTCAGTACTATTAATGACAAAAAAAGGAACACCTAATGTTATTAATAAATATATAAGATATGGTATATTCACATAACATCACTCAACAATAAAAAGAATTATATAAACATTGCACTAGGTGACATGAAGCTGCTCATGACAGATCATACTATATGATACCATATATATAAAATGTTCAGACCAATCCACAGCAACAGAAAAAAGTAGCCTTGGGAAGGGTGGAAGGGTAAAATAAAAAAGTGGCAGCTAAGGACTGCAAGGTTTCTTTCTAAAATGATAAAAATGTTCTGAAATTGAATTATAGAAATAGCTGCAAAATTCTGTAAAAATACAACAAACCACTAAAAATTTTACATATTTAAAAAAAAAAAAAAAAAAGACAAGTGCTTGTGTATACCAGACTAGCCTCCAATTCACTATGAAGCAGAGAATGATCTGAACTCCTGATCCTCCTGTCTCCATCCCAGGGCTGAGACTATAGGTATGTACCATACCCAGTTTATACAGTGCTGGGATTATATACACTAGTGCAGGGCTTCATATTAGTACATACTTTTTATTAACTGAACTACATCTTCAGCCCCAAATTAAATACTTTAAACAGGTAACTTTATAAATTACATTTCAATGAAACTGCTTAAAATAAAACATATATCTAACAGGATTTTACTCCTATGTTTCTTACTATGTACATACTCCCTTACCTTGAAGCCACAGCCCATCCTGGCAATCCAAACCTTTCATAATCTCCTCCATAAATGTCTCGAACTAATTTGTCCACTTTGGTGCTATCCCCACGAGACGCCATCTCAAGAGCTTCTTCAAAAGTGCTACAGCCAGTAAGAAGACAGCAGAGACCAAAGAAAGTTCCTCCTCCGAGACTATGATTAAAAACAAACAATGTAGTATTTTTAAAACACAGGAATGGGATGTTAAGACTTATGAACCCCAAAACAACATTCATGTATCAGTCTACTCTTGTCCCAGCTAAATCATGCATGATACCAGTAAATTTTCAAGAAGATAAATACAAGTGCCTCATAAGCACAAAATGCATATATCTATGTGAGCCAACAAAGTAGAAAAATATATAGAGCCCATCTCCCTGTCTATGTGCAGTCTACTCTTGCCAAGGATGAAAAGCCTCAGGCACACATAAGTAAGGCCAACATACCCAGCGTCATACTGGCACCTACTTTCTGTCTTCAAGTGCAAAATGACCTCTGAAGTCATTCCAGCACCTGTCACTAAACCACAAGATCCCTCTATTGAAACCTTTCTTCCCCAAACTACTCTCATTTGTTGGCTAATACTCATTAGGTAAAGTTAATCAAATCCTCAGTTCCTTTTCCTCAAATAACCCTTGAACATTAACTAAAACATTCATTCTCTTCTTTCATCTAATTCTCCCTTTTCAAATCATTTTTTCTAGTTATCAGTACCTCAACTTCTAGATCCATACTGCCTTAGTTTTCTATTACTGTGATAAGACACCATGACCAAAACAACCTATATAGAAAAGAGTTTATTTGGGGCACACAGTTTCAGTGGTAGAGTCCACGGCTATCATGGCAGAGAGCATGACAGTAGGCAGGCATGGCACTGGAGCACTAGCTGAAAGCTCACATCTTGAAACAGAGAAAGCTAAGAATGCCCAGCTTTTGAAATCTTCAAGCCCACCCTCAGTAACACAGCTCCTCCAACAAGGCCACACTTCCTAATCCTTCTCAAACATTTCCATTAATGGGAACCAAATATTAAAACATATGAGTCTATGGGGGGGGCATCCTCAATCAAATTATCACACACACCATCCCATAAATATCAATATCCCTTATCCTACGGTCATCCCCTGATCACCTTATACCATCCTGTGGTGTAAGTACATGTATGCACATGTTAAAGCATGTATGCATGTATATGTACAAAATCTAGAGGTTTCAAAGGAAGGCCTTTTTCTTGCCTTCTCTTCCAAAAGTCTACCTGGTTAACTTCAGCTACTTTATATACGCACACCATAAACTTGGATGCAATGACTCTTGTTGAGCCAACACTCAATGAAACAACAATAAAACCTAAGCAAAAGAGATTAAAAGAGCTCATGATATCAGAATGTTTAAAAAGAAGCAATGCTTCCTTGCAAGTTTCAAAAATTTTAATGGGTGCTATAAGTATGGTTCTGTGATACTTGAGAACTCAGTAAACCTATATCAAGTATAAGCAATGACTTATATGAAAGATTTACCTGGTGCCTGTGACCCTCCTATAATTATCTTTGGAATACACTGCTAAGATGCTAACACCTGAGCCGATGTTCACCAGAAGCAGAGGGTATGGATTTTTCAAATCAAATGGTAACTTCTGACATTTTTCAGAATCAGCAGGATTTTCAAAATAATAGCACTGTGACCGTCCATTGAATCCAACTGAGTCAATGTACAAAATTCCTTTTATTAAGCAATCCAATTCATCCAATTTGTGAAGTTGAAGGTCGCCTATCTGTAATAAAATAAGAAAGTAATCAGATTTTCTAATAAGCTAACAATTTTTTAAATATGGTTTTCTGAACCAAAGTCTCACTGTAACCTAAGCTGGTCCCAAATCCTCTTGCCCCCACTTGCTAAGTGCTAGGACTACAGGTATGAGCCACTATCTCTGGCAACCAACAGAAAAATTTTAAATTTCACTTAAAAAAGACATCTGTACACTGAAGGAAACATAAAAGCATGCCTGCCCATGGATGTGTGGCATTTATATGTGCTTGTAGAGCAGATCTGGGGGAAGGAAACAGGAGGATGGACTGGCAAGACAAACTCTGGTTCCCACAGACCCAAAGAGTCTCCATCCAAACCACTACAACTGTGGGGCTGTGTGCCAAGTCACAGGTGACCAACAGAACATAGGACCACTGCTGAAAGACAGTGAAAACAGAGATGTAGTTGAGACCATGGCTTATCCATTTAGTTTGATATTGGCTATTGGCTTGCTATATATTGCCTTTATGTGTTTAGGAAAGTTCATTGTATCCCTGCTATCTCCAAGACCTTGAAGATATCATGTACACTGACAAATTTGAACCATCCCTGCATCTCTGGGATGAAGCTGACTTGATCATGGTCAATGATTTTTCTGATGTGTTCTTGGATTTGGTTTACCAGTATTTTATTGAGTATGTCTGCATCAATGTCTAAGAACCTATTCCTAAAATGCATAGTCCAGGCCAGGAAGCAGTGGTTCACGCCTTTAATCCCAGCACTTGGAAGGCAGAGGCAGGCAGATCTCTGTGAGTCTGAGGCCAGCCTGGTCTACAAAGCGAGTTCCATAACAGCAAGGGCTTTTATATAGAGAAAGCCTGTCTTGAAAAATAACAAAAAACAAAACCAACAAAAAAATTAAACAAATAAACAGGATATGTAGTCCAGTCTGCACTCTTCCCTTGAATCCTCACACAACTGAGACTCTGTTCATGGCCTGAATGATTTTCAAATATTTGTTGCAATGGGGCTACTACAGCATCTTGGAAACAGAAACCTTTTCCACCTACCTAACAGTTATGACCGAGAGTCCACTGGGAGACTCTCATAAAGGAGCACTTGCTATTCCACTCCTTACCTGAATTCATAGATAGAAAAGAAACCACTGAAAACCAATAAACAAGAAAAATCAAGGGAAGACTGTAAAACCTGCCAGACATGGTGGCGCACGCCTTTAATCCCAACACTTGGGAGGCAGAGACAGGTGGATCTCTCTGAATTCAAGGCCAGCCTGGCCTACAGAACAAGTTCCAGGGCAGGCTCCAAAGCTATATAGAGAAACCTTGTCTTGAAACAAAAACAACAAAAAAGAGTATAAAACCTTATTAGCTAGTGAATGTCATTTCTGCTAGGATTATAACAGCCAGTTGGGGGATGGGGAGAGAATCAGAAAAGGGAAAGGCCATAAAGTATGTAGTGACACATAAGGGTAAAGAGTGAGACATAAAAACAGTATAAACTCAAGTTCCCTGGAAAAGCCAGGTACATGTTGGCGAGTCTGCATACCGACTAACTGGTTAGTTCTTAACTGGTCCTTAGTATTCTCAATAGCCATCACCAATTTTTATACTTAACATCCATTTAGACTATCAGCTAAAATCTTTGGAATGTATTAGTAGACCACTAGCTTAAAAAAGTCATTAGACAACATCTAAAACTTATTAGCACCTGCCAACCTGATGACTTCACCAATGTTTTTTGAAAGGCACTGCCTTATGGCTTCCTTTTGCTCTGTAACCTCTCCCACAAAAAAGATGTCATTCGTGCTGTTCAGAGCAGTCCAAATTTGTGTTGCCAAGACTGGCTACTTTTATTTGGTTCAGAATAAACTTAATTCCTATGAAGCAAGAGCTACCCTTTGTGTTGACAGAGACAAAGGGAAAACCTCCCTCTGTCAAATATTCTCATTTGGTAGTATGAAAACAGGTTAGTGAAGACATTTTAACTCTGCATGCACTGCCTCTGAAAGCTGGAGTATTGCGCAATTCATTTGTTAGTACTCACACCTTCACCACATTGACCCACAAAAGATCTAGCCTCAAGACCTTGCAGTGTTCACTAAAGGAAATCAAAACCTAATGCTCAGTGCTCTCCTGGCCTTAGGAGTTTAGATTGGTTGAAAAACTTGGCTGGCAAGAAGAGCAGAGGCTGGGATTGTATTTGCCTAGTTTGTGCACAACAGCTCTGCCGGCAGTTCTAATGCCTGAAAAGAACTTTTAACAATCTTGTTTTTTGAAACAGTGCTTCTCTATGTGACTGCTCTAGCTGTCCCAAGTGCTGATTAAAGGTGTGTGCCACCACTGCCCGGTACTTTAAAATTTTATGTGTACGAGGCTTTGCCTGCATGTATGTATACTATATGTATATACTAGGATCCCTTGAAACTTGAGTTGCACACAGTACACGGTTATGAGCCACCATGTGGGTGCTAGGACTCAAACCTGGGTACTCCAGAGAAGCAGCCAGTGCTCTTAACTAATCAGTCATCCCTCCAGCCCCCCATACTCCCCAAAATACTTTTAACCAGACATGCTGGAAAATAACTGCGGTGGCAGAAGAGAAACTATGTGGTACACAAGGTTGGAAGTAGTTTTGTGGCCCTGTGGAGATCAGAAGACAACCGGAGATGTTTTTCTTCAGGTGACATCTACTTTTTTCTTGAGTCTTCATTAGCCTGGAGTTTTCCATGGAAGCTACCAATGAGCCCCAGGGATCCACTTGTCTCTGCCTCCCTAGTGCTGGGGCAATACCCAGTTTTATTGTTATTTTATTTCCATTTGACTGATCTGAGGCTAACCTCAAACTCAGAAGAAATCCACTTGCCTCTGACTCATGAGTACTGTTGAGATTAAAGGCGTAGACCACCAAAACCAAATAAATTTTTATTTATGGCTTTGTATATGCATTTCCAAGAAGACCACAGGTGCTATCATATACCCTAACACTGAAAGTGCAGGGAGTTATGGGCTGTTTTGACATGGGTATGGGAACTGAACTTAGGTCCTTGCTGAGCTACCTCTCCAGCCCATTCAGTCTTTTTATGTGGGTTCTGAAGAATGAACTCAGGTCCTCCAAACACTTTACTGACTGATCCATCTCCCTAGCCCAGGACTAAATTTTTCAGTTTTTAAACTCCTTAATAAAATGTAATTATGGTATTCCTCATAGACTCTTATTGTGCTTATCCCATAGTCAAAGTTTTCACTCTAAAGAATTGTTAAAATGCTATGCTGATATACATCAACATATTTTAACCAGGTAAGAAGCACACTACCCAACAAGTGCGAGAAGATCAACTACTGACTGTCACTTGTTTATATAATGTTCATTTCCCTCAAGAATAGTCAAGCTCCATTATAAAATGGAAGTGATTCTACCACTTGTAATTGGCATCATTTTAAACAATCAAATTTCCATAAATTGTATATAAGCTAAAAAATGCATACTGTGAGAAAATCCTGCTCAAATTTGTATGATCCGCCTCCAGTGGCACAAAAGACAGTGTGGAGACTCGAGAAGTTTTTATCTTTGCCCATTTGAATAAAAGCAGGCATGTCATGAGTGGGAAAGCGTATAAAGTGCAGATTGCCTTTGCGTCCACACAGAGTCAGGTCCTTCAGCTCAAGGTGCACGTCCCGGATTCCTGTGGATCCATAAGCCACATTGGAGGTCAGGTACTTGCGAATGCTTTTCAGACTCTCCACTTCCTCCTTTTCTTCTTCAGCGGTGATGTCTTTAGGTTCGAAATAAACCAGCTTTACTAGGGTTCCACCAATATCCAAGCCAAACCATGGAAAATCTAAATGGGAAAGAAAAAAAAAGTAAAAACACCTTTTTCTAAAAATAAAAGTTTATATTTACTTGACTAGCAACTTATTCCATAGGCTATGGTTTCTAAGAAATAAAATTCTGAACTAAAAGGTTTGGGAAAAAGAAATGTGAATCAAAAATATCAAAGTATCAGGACAAACTAACATTTCTGTATGCCCAAACTATACTGTGAAATATTTAAAAGCTAACAAGTTTCAACCCTGAAAAACAAAGACTGAAACAAAATCTTCAGCCTTCCTTCAGCTCAAAGGAAGGAGCGCTCAGACCACAGAGCTCGGAAAGGTCCAGCCTGACCTAAGACTCTCCAGGGTCAGTTCCTCTCAGTGCTATTCTGGGCTAGTCGTACAGCTTAGGGATAGAGTACTTAATCTACTATATATACACCAGGCCCTAGGTTCATTCTCTGGGAAGCCAAAAAAAGGAAAATACTGGCAGCTTAAAAATAAAAGGTTTCAAGGGACTTTAAGTCCAAGCTATCTGCTGCCAAAACACACTTTAAAATCAACCACATTTAACTACAGTTCCAGGGGATATGATATCCTCTTCTGGCTTCCATAGGTTTTAGGCTGAACATAGATGTGCCTTCCCAAACCTAAATCTAGAAATGACTAATGAAGTCTTAAGTTTATTAACATTCTCCCCTAAAATAACTCTGGAACACACACAAAAATCTAGTCAGTGTCTGTTCTGAACCAACAGGAACGCTAATAAAGCTCTGGAAACAGCTGTGAAGGTGGCAAGCACACAGGGGTGCTCTACCCAAGCAGCAGACAGAGTGGCTGCCAAGGATGGCACATGGACAAGTTTCAGCAGTCATGTTGATATGGGATATGGTCAGGAAACACCTGGAGCAACTCGACCAAGACTACTTCTCACCCTCACAAAGGTAAACAATCTTTTCCCTGAATACATGGATCAGAGACACAAAGTCAGGATGGCATCCACTTGGCTGGTGCCACACCAAGGAAGGACAGCTTCCACCCATCTCCCCACTATACCCCATCCTAGGAGACAATAAACAGAATCTACAGCCATTTACAGATCAACAGCAATTCTCACCTAAGGATGAATCACCAAAAGGGAACAAGTGCCACAAAAAAGAGAAAGTATCTGAAGAAAGAGTTGCAGGAATAATGAATAGTAAACGTCTTCAGACACATAATGTGATCTCATCTGTGAAAAAATTAGAAACTAAAAACTGCTAAAACTACAAGAATTAATGCATGATTTTCAAAAGCAAACAGAATCAGATACTTATAAGTTTGTGTAAAAGTGATGAATAGGAGCTGGAGAGATGGCTCAGAGGAAAAGAACGTATACGGCTCTTGCAAAGGACCAGAGTTCCGTTCCCAGCACTCCCATCAGGTGGCTCATCACTGCATGTCACTCAGCTCCAGGAGATCCAGCACTCTTCTGGCCTCCTCTGGCATCTATACTCACATGCACATATTGACACACAAACACATATACACAATTTTAAAATAAATATCTTTTTTTTTTGTTTTTTTGTTTTTCGAGACAGGGTTTCTCTGTGGCTTTAGAGCCTGTCCTGGAACTAGCTCTTGTAGACCAGGCTGGTCTCGAACTCACAGAGATCCGCCTGCCTCTGCCTCCCGAGTGCTGGGATTAAAAGCGTGCGGCACCATCGCCCGGCCAAAACAAATATTTTTTTAAAAAATAGATGAATAGAGTTTGTTCCTAATCAGGGGGGAGTGCTTTCAACACTTGCCCTTGCAAAAAGAAAACATAAATTTACCTATGAAACTCAAGAACAAGCCGAGTGAAAAAAGTCTTCCAGAAAATGCTACGGTCTCTAGGAAATACAAACTGATCACTTCCACAGCGAGGAGAGAAAGCCAACTGTATGATCACACTGCTAAAGAGAGGAAGGACTTCAGAGGTACAGGTCAGGGTGTGAGAATCACAGAGCTATATACTCTAAACCATACAAATACACTTAGCAGTAAAATGGGAGTGCAGATGCACTAAGTAGAAGACAAAACTAAGAAATCCTCTCAGCTTGTCTCTCAAGTACAAAAGTGTCAGAAATAGAGGTAGAATTAAAAGCCCAAAGCCTTATCTTTTACAAGCTCTAGAAATTTCTCAGGACAGAGTGGAAACACTTGGGAAGACTTAAAAAAAAAATCCTACCGGAGTCAGATATGGTACTTAGTCCCAGCACAGGCAGATCTCTGTTTTAAGCTACCTAGTGCTCCACAGTTAGACCTTGTCTCAAAAAAAAAAAAAAAAATAAAGAAGTTGGGGGTTTAATCTCAGCATTTGGGAGGCAGAGGTAAAAGTGTATTTCTCTGTGAGTTTGAGGTCAGTAGAGAGTCCCATCAGAGTCAAGGCTAAGAGAGAAACTCTGTCTCAAAAAATAAAAATAAGTAAAGAAATATTTTTAAATATTTATTTAACTTTATTTTATGAGCATTTGGTATGAAGGTGTCAGATTCCCTGAAACTGGAGTTACAGACAGTTGTGAGCTACCATGTAGTTGCTGGGAATTGGATCTGGGTCCTCTGGGAAAGCAGCCAGTGCTCCTAAACACAGAGCCATCTCTCCAGTCCCAAGCAAAGAAATCTTACTGAAATTTCAGAAAACCATAAGAACCAAAGTTCCTAGGAATAGGCATAAATTATACAAAGGTAAGCAGTGCTCTTCATCAGTAACATGAGTATTAGAAGACACAGGAACATAGGCTCCAAAAAAGAAAGGGAAAGATTTAAGTGTTAGCTAGTCAACCAGCTTTCAAGCAGGAATTCACAACAAAATTCACACACAAGGACTGCTAGTCAAAGTCTCTGATTTATATTAATGCACAATAGCATAATTTTACATTTCCAAGAGCTGTAAGAAAGACTTTTACCCATTAGCTATTAGTAGAGGAACAAATGCATGCTAACTTTAAGATCTAAAATACTTACACAATTTCAACAAAGGACATCAAGGAGGAAAGGAGTAGAAAGTGAACGCAGCACATCTGTCTTGTAGGAAAAGGAAAGAGAAAAAGACTGAACAACTGGAGACAAGAACAAAAAAGGGACGCTTTAAAACAAAACAAAAGTACTCGGGAGGCAAAGGCAGGGGGACCATTGCAAGTTCAAGACCAGCATGATTACATGTCGAGTTCCAGGCCAGCTAGTACTTCATGGGACCCCATGTCAAAAAATAAAAAAATAATAATAAAATTAAAAAAAATAATAAAAGCAGCTCCAGAAGAGAAAAGGAACATAAGATTTTCAAATAACTAGATACAGGTAATAAATCTGTTTAGGGGTGGGGATAGCCAGGAGATCCAACCCAGGGTCTCACATACTGTAATGTGAACACCCCACCACCTAGATGTATCCCCAGCCCTAAAAGATTTTGCAGGTTTTCACCAGAGAGAAATTAATTTGAGTAGACATGCTAACAAACATTAATGATTTAAACATACAATGGATACATGAGTCAAAACATCACACAGATCTCTGTAAACAGGAATATTTTTACACACAGCTAAAACAAATTTTTTTTAATTTTTTATTTTATTTATTCATTAAAGATTTCTGTCTCTTCCCCACCACCGCCTCCCCTTTCCCTCCCCCTCCCCCAGCTAAAACAAATTTTAAGCTAGGTATGGTGGCACAAGCATGTAATTCTAGTGCTCAAGAGTTGAAGCTGGAACAGGATTACTGTAGGTGGACTTTTCTTTCCTCGTCCCCAGTTCCCAAATAACCTACACAGGTATTTAGTATCAATTATAAATGCTCAGCTTAAACCAAAAAACAACTATTAATCTCAAAATATTTTACACTGGTATGGACTTTGGTTTATTGATACAAATTTAAAGTTATTTTTACTATACTATATGTATGTTTCTACTCTTGTCTGGGGTATTATGCTTATGCAACTCAATTAAAAAGTAAAGTATAATTAAGAAATACAGATTAATAGTCATCTATTATTGTCAAACTTATAGTTAGGTTAGGTATATTTTCAAGGTCATAAAGAGATATTTAGATAGACAATTTTCAAACACTTCAAAGACCTACAGAATATGGCATTTAATATGTTTAATAACCTAAGGCTTTTCTTTGCAGTGAGACATGTCTGCTCCTGAAAGCACCAATCTACTTCAGAGAAGATAATAGGCATTGAAGAAACTCTGTATAGAGTTTACTTTCCTTATAGCAAAAGCTAGCCATTTAAAAGGGGGGGGACGACAAACAAACAAACAAAAAAGAATGTCCTTGTCTCAACTGCTGACAGTATACTGTCCTAACTGGACCAGAAGGACACAAAAAAGGCAACTGTCAAACTTTGCCAAGGCAAGGTAGGACAGTCCTTCAAAATTCCCTGCTTCTCAGAAATGTGTCAGATATACAAGACCTTTAGCCAAAGATAGATACCCCAACGTTACAGAAGAACCTAGGGTGACTGACTGTCCTGATAGCAAGCAAGATGTCCTTGTAGTTAGGTAACATTTCACCCTTCTGGGGTCTTTAATGAATTTGAAGACTAGATAGTCATAGCTGAAGTTTTCCTTAGTTATGATAAAAGGTTAATTAGGTATAAAACTTTAGAGTAATAAAAATAACAGTATTTTCTCTAAATTTGCCAAATACAAATGGGCTACATATTATAACTGTAATTCTTCCTTAATAACTGTTTTGTTACATATAATTTTACTATGTTAAGTTAAAACCTTCCTTTTTAACTAGACAAAAGGAGAATTGCTGTGGAATAACATCATTGGTTAATAAAGCACCTACTGGCCAGTAGCCAGGCAGGAAGTATAGGCAGTCAAACTGAGAATGCTGGGAAGAAGGGTGGAGTCAGTAGAGTCATGAGGAGACAAAGAGGGGGCAAGACATGCTGGTAAAGCAAGACAGGTAAAGCCACGAGTCACATGGCAATACATAGGTTAATAGAAATGGGTTAAGTTATAAGAGCTATTTAGTAATAAGCCTGAGTTACCAGCCG